TTGTTGGACTTGAAACGATTCTATGTAAACTTATATATTACCTTGGAAACTGATGTCTCGAGGCACAGAAATAACACGGGCTTTGCCACCAACATACTTTAAGGTGGCCATCGGCCGGCCAGGGAAGGATCTTGCGACCATGGCTGCACAAGAATTTTAGCTTATTCTTCGGTGAACCCAGAGCAGAATTACATGAATTATTTTTGTCCTCCACAAAGACACCTACTGTTGACGTTAGAATCAATTACTTCACCGGCAGTGTTGGGTTGGATGGGGGTTATAGATAGAACATGCGATGAGGGGACTGAAAGAGATCAACAACAATCAACTGAGAGAAAATTGGGAAGTTGATGAGGGAGGAAGGTGATTGTAGGATATTTTCAGGTAATATTAGTAAACAGAAACACTGATTGAGGTTGATTTTCTATTTTTACTCTCTCTTGATTTCCTCCTGGAGTAATGCTATTCATCCCCACTGGAAATGGAAACACAGTCTACATGACGTCAATATGTCATTAAATGATAGGTGAAATTAAATAAGTCATTTACTTTTACATTTCATTTAATCTATCATTTAAAGCCACTTAAACTGTGTTTCCATCCCCACTGGGGACGAATAACATTAGTCTTCCTCCTGGATATAAGGGACGAATGAATTTTGGGCCTACAAAGTAAAGAGGAAACTGGAAAAATACTAGCGTCCAAGTCTATGATTTTAAGACATGTTTGGTGTGGCATGTTTGATTGAATAAGAATTAATTTAATTCCGTCCGGTTGAATGAAGTAGAAACATACTTCCACAAACTGACGTCAATTTTTAGCATCAAATTCTGACTCTCAGGGCTGATTGTCCACCCTGTTTATTGAAGGCTGAACAAACTAATTACTCGATTCACAAGCTTGATTTTGCTAACACAAATTTACAATCGAAAAATATTTATTCAAGTTTAATTAGTCGACCGTGAGGTTTAAAATTCAATATATATGAATTAAATTTCATGAGTGCTACTCGTGCTCGCCAAATCTACAAAAAAAAAAAATCGCTCCTTGTGCCTTTAACTAAACATCCAATAGTCGAGGTTGTGAGCATAATTCGAAAATATCAACTCAAAGAACAATTCTTATTTGAGTTGTGCTCAACTAGTAACTAATACATATAAAAACCATTCTTTTTTCTCATCATATGTCAACCTATCATCTGAAGAAAATATCAAGGTTCAAGCTACAGCACATAATAACTACATAGTAAAATTTCATTGTCCACAAAATTTGAAACAGAAGAAAACAAGGAAGTGCAGAGTTGGTGATTTAAATTCAGAATTCATAATGAAAGTCGAACATTATCATAGAGCTAACGGGACTATGATCAAACCACTTGGTAATTCTCCGTAGACAGCACTGTTCTCTGAGAAAACTTGGGTGGAGTTCCACCTTTCAATGGTATAATGTTCGAAACCTGCAGACATTTGTATTATTAAAAAAGGAGGTTCCCTCAAACCACCGAAAGCAATAGAAAGTAGAAACTCGTTTGTTACAAGAAGTCTTTCTATAAATAAAGTCTATTCCAGTTTCCATCAAGTATCAGACAACAATCAGCACGGATTGTTTGGGGATTGCCATGTACTATTCATGACATGGTAGAAAATAACTATAAGCCTGTCTGTCCTAGGACAATGGAAAATAAATATTTGCTGGAAGGGATGGAATTTTTTTTATAGGCCAAAACCAAATTTATCATTCAGCTAAATCACCGCTGATGGTGGGAGAAATAAAAAGTGGAATACAAACCAACCAGATAACCAAACTCTCAACAAAAGTAGTTCTCCAAGAAGTTATGGGCCACTGTGTTCCCATTTCTGGAATTTTTGTATAATAAAATAGGAGCTGATTTGATTTCATTTTTCCCCACCTTGTACACCTATTGGTTATTGCATACTTCCTTTCAAATCAATAAACAGCTATATTTGCTGAAACAAATGGTAAGAGTACCAAAAGGGTATGATGGGTTGGTCTGGGCAGGTTCGAGATGATTATAACGCAAACAGGTCAACGCAACTGCTCATATATGTAGAAAGGGACATTTTCCTTCACCTTTTTTTGCCACCCCTAGTTGTGTGGAGTTAGAGACGTGCAAATAATATTAAAGAGAAAATTACGATGAAATCTCAGTGTCGAATACAAATCAGCAAATATTTTTTTGATGGATGGAGAGGTCGAGCAAAATTTTTGAACACCCATTAAAATTCTTTTTAGGGAAGTACAGTAAAAGGAAAGGACAAAAAACCTTTAAATCACTGAAAGTGTTCGTAGCCGTAAATCGGACAGAAATTGGGAAAAAGACTGATGTATCTGCAGGAGGGACAACAAATTCCATCGATCCACTGCAAGTTTCCAAATACCAATCAGAACCAAGTAATGGTTACCGTCTAACGTAAAAATGGAATAACACAATTGTAAGCTGACCTGCGATTTGAGTTATCAATGAGAACTATAGACCACTCCAAAACTGAGTTTCGCGAATCATATCTGCAATTTAACATCATTGGAAATGCTCAACACTTGCTTATGTGAATTGAATTTAAAATTGGATGACAAGTTAAACAAATAGAAGCCTACTACAGTACCAAAAATAACCCCAACTCTTGATAGGTTGCCTTAAATCATTTACTTCTGGATTCTTATTTATGATTCACTACAAATTATAGGCATACCCATAAACTATCAACTTTAACCTATCACTATTATCATCAGTATATCTAGGAGTTCAAGCAAGCCAGATGGACTGATGCTTCTAAAAAAAACTCTTCCAGGTATTAAAAAGATTATTTATAAAATACAAATCAGAACTGAGATGCTCATTGTGTTCAACAAAGCATACAAATGTGCTAGGTAATTTTCATGTACCATAATAACATCAAATGAACCATGAAATAGATTCTGTGCCAGGTTCAATCATTCATTCACAAGCAGAATATCAGCTGTTCGTGAAAGGCTCTATGACTTTTGGCGTTGGTCTTCCTCAATAGCACCATCACCAAAAAAAGTGCAAAAAACATATCTATCCTCGTCTCAACCCATCTTATTTTGGAGGGGCAAGAGCAAATTGACATGGTTCTCATTGCAAGTTATAGGGACTTGGATCTAGCATGAAAAGTATGGACTTTCAGTGTGTGCTTTATATATACATGGACTCTCTAACTTCAACAGCTAGGCTTTTTGAGATATAGGTCTCTCAAGATCTATAAAAATGGTATCAAAGCAAGCATCACGTTTCCTGGTTGCAATTGAGCAGCGCAAATTGTGACACGGACATAGCAATGTTCGTCCGAAACTTGCCATGGACTAGTGCAAAGCAAGTCCGACCTGGACGCCTAGATCGCGGAGCATAGTCATTTGTTAGATAAACTTGGGCTCTCCAACTTTAACAACTAGTTTTTGAGGTATGGCTCCCCCAAGATCTATATCACAAATTCTATCACTAAACAAAATGGAGTGGAGAGAAAGTATTCATGTAGCCGACCCAAAATTTATTAGTCATAAGTTTTAGTATGTTATTGTCAATGTATGTTGTCTGTTGCCTGTTGCCTTTGATTGGGAAATGAAATCATTGCACCCAACCTCCACCCCAAAGGCAAGAATAAGCAAAAAGGTAACTGTTACAAGGCACATGTGCAAGAGCCAATACCATTCTATATACCAGAGAGTGGCATCCACGATATGCATGAAATCTTTTAGAGACATGAATTTTAATGCAGTTGAAAGAAATAAATCCAAAAGTTTCTTTTATGATGTAAAGATATTTATTGGAGGCACTCTCTCCATACTTCAACATCCAAAAATGAGGACTATTCCCTTTCTAAGGGCAATAATGAAGACAAATCGAAAAACGTATGCAGCAGAAGAGAAATAGATAAAAGACAATGCATCAGATTCAGTTGTCCCCATATAATGTAGGCAATCCAAGCACCAGATTCATAATTTTACAGCCAAGTCATAATTATAAAGTATAAACGAGGATAGAGCATTGCATGATGTCTACTTTAACATGTTAGCTTAACTCTTCTGCTGGATTGTTGTCTTACATGAAAGCATCATTTCATTACTGAAGGGATTTTAGAATCATTCTCTCAATAGTTAAAATTCCACATAGTACTCCATCATGCAGGGTTACTCTTCATATTCGACACAGGTATGAATATCAAACAATTTTCATCATTCTTAATTTCCAGCAGCTTTTCCATGTCAGTAATGTGTCCCGAGTGTCCGCTTCTAGGACAGGTGTGTTTGTCCAATATGATACAGCGTGGAAACAGAAAAGTATTTGGACTTTGCACAGCATAAGAAATATCACTCAAATGCTAACATTCCAGTTCATAAGAGCCACTCAGAAAATGAGACCCACAAAAAGTCAATAAATCCTCAATGTATAAATCTTTCTTGCATGACACCAATGATATGTGTAGTTCATCCAAATGAGAAGTTAAAATGAAGCCTCACCTCCACTCCCCGTCGATCTGTTGTACATTTGGTGCCTCTCTAAGTGCTGGAAGAGGTACAGAAATCACAACATTCTGCAGATCAAACATTTGTGAAGCTTCATACTCCATGCTCACATATGTTTCATTTCCAGAAACAGAAGGCCAGCAATTAACTGTCACAGCAAGATGTAAAGTAGATCAATGCAAAAGAAAAAAATACCACATACCATTTTTATTTTTTTTAATGGGGGTGGTGGGACAATAAAAACCAAGCTTACTTGATAACGGTACAAGTGACTCATCTGAACTTTGCATTCTCCACCTCAAGAGACTAACACCATCGCCAGCTTGCCCAGCGGGAAATGGCCGATTCGGATCCTTGAGCCCCAAAATATTTTCATTGGAAAACAATTCCTTGTTGATATTGGGGTGTGTCTTGAAAAGAATTCCTGGATTACCACCAGTTTCAATCTGAAAATAAGCCAAAATGAAAACATGCCATTAAATAAATTTTGTGAGTGTCAGCTGTGATACTACGAATTATTATGAACACATTTGAAAGAAAGCAAGTACTTGATTATGGATACAACTACAAGGAAGCAAGTGTGTATAAGGAGCAGAGGCAAAAGGAAGAAAAGCTGGATCACCTGAACTTGGATGAGT